TCGCCGGTACGCAACGTTTTGTGAATCGGAAAATGGCGGAAAATGTATGTACCTATTTTTGTGCTTTGTACTACGTAAGCAACCTTCCTACGTCAATCCTACGCAAGGCGTTATAAATGAGGCCCCAGCATCGCTTCATACAACAGATCTGGGGCCTCATTTATAACGCCTTGCGTAGGATTGACGTAGGAAGGTTGCTTACGTAGTACAAAGCACAAAAATAGGTACATAAATTTTCCGCCATTTTCCGATTCACAAAACATTGCGTACCGGCGAGGGAAGTGCGTACGGCACTCCCTACGCCTGTTTCCCTTGATAAATCACAATCGACTCGTAACGCCCATATTTGCCTATACATAGTCAAAGAAACGCCCATTCATTCATTAATTTTTGACTGACTGCATGAAGAAGATCGCAGGAAATTACGATAGAACAGCTAAAAAAGACATCTCACACCGTGTCAGATTTTGGTTATTGTGGGGAGGTCGAGATAAATCATATTGTTTGGTGGATGCAGTTTGAACCAGAGTAGCAGCATGGAGGTCGGATCGTCACCAAAATAAATAAATAAGTGGTCCGAAAAAAGTTAATGACAAAACAAATACACATAACCTTCCTCTATGGGCTCAGAACAGTCTCATAATACACACATGCACACAGAAGGATTCACACTTGTATTTCATGATCCGCAAAAGGATTCACACTTGTATTTCCGGATCCACACTTGTGTTTGTCAATGCACACACAAATGTGTTCCGTTTCATATACATGTAAATAAAATCCAAATACAGAAAAAAGTTTTACATATGTATTTTTGATCCTCACATATTTGTTTTCCGTTTAAAACCGCTGCACCTGCAAACACAAACCGCTTTCTGTGCATGGATCGCTCTGCATTCGTGTGTGGGTTTTTTGAGACTCCCCTGACGGTGACCCGATTCGTACTTGTAATTTTTTCTATCTATAGCCAATCAGATGTCTCCTCAATTCTAAGCCAATCACATGAGCGCGCCCCCACAAGGGTAGATTTCTTGCGTTCATGACGTAGCGCTTCATGTACGCATTTTGCGCTGTCCGGAGCTGACAGGTCCATGGAGCCTGCCTGCAGGCGCTAATCTCAGGACACCTCCACTCTCAGTACATTGCCACTTTCCGATCAGGAAATGCACGCAAATACAAGCCTTTATATTATTAAGGTACAGTGCCACTTTCCGAACCATTAATGAATGCTTGTGTACATAAAAACGGCAGGCAAAACTGTTTTAAATGTGTGTTTCCTGTATGGCGATCAGCTGCTTTATTTATGTCTGTATGAAGTTGTTGTGAGTGTGGAGGGAGCAGCTACAGGTTAGTTTAGCCTAATCGATCAGTGCACTACGAAGCCAGTGCTAGACAGTGAACTGTCAACGGGGGGAGCCCCGCCGGTCATTATCGGCCGATATTCACTCTTAATAGTTTGATCGGTGCTCTCTATAAAGGCCGATCAGGAGAGGTGGATCTGATCGATATGGACATAAACGCGAGTGAAGTTTTAGCGAGCTGCATGAGAAACTGACGGGCTGTCAGGAGAGAGGGAGGGAGAGAGGAAAAGAGATGATCCTTACTCCCGTGTTATTATCCGGTCATAGTCCGGTAATTCCCTAACGGAAACGCTGCTACACAATTATTATTATTATTATTATTGAAACATGACCGGTAAGTTTCAAATTTGTCCGGTAAAATTAAATTCTGTCCGCGGAAACCCAGCTCCGGACTACGCAAAATGCGTATATGAAGTGACATGAACGCAAGAAATCTACCCTCGTGGGGGCGCGCTCATGTGATTGGCTTAGAATTGAGGAGACATCTGATTGGCTATAGATAGAAAAAATTACAAGTACGAATCGGGTGACCGTCAGGGGAGTCTCAAAAAACCCACACACGAATGCAGAGCGATCCATGCACAGAAAGCGGTTTGTGTTTGTAGGTTCAGGGGATTTAAACGGAAAACAAATATGTGAGGATCAAAAATACATATGTAAAACTTTTTTCTGTATTTGGATTTTATTTACATGTATATGAAACGGAACACATTTGTGTGTGCATTGAAAAACACAAGTGTGGATCCGGAAATACAAGTGTGAATCATTTTGTGGATCATGAAATACAAGTGTGAATCCTTCTGTGTGCATGTGTGTATTATGAGACTGTTCTGAGCCCATATTCCTCAGGCAGTGTGTTTGTCCCGGGGACAGGAGACACCCCCTTGATGAGAAACTGTAAGAAATGATCGGGGAATCCCTCCGGAGTGTAGTCATGACGACTGGATCTGAATTATTTTTGTTGTATTTGGTGGTTTGTGTTCCAGCTGTCGATCAGCAACTATATATACATAATCCACCAGTTAAAGGAAATACAACTAATGTGTTGTGTTATATTAGCTGTACAATTTACCACATATGGTGTTCTTAGTTTCCATACCTCCTGTGTTTTACGAGCGACTTATCAAGTCTTGGCAAACGGCATAAAACACGATTAAACGTGATAGTATATAAAACCATGCTCGTATCTACAACCTATAGAAATGCAAAACGGCGTCAGTTTAGACGTAATTCTGTCCTCCTGCTTACCGCATCATTTATGAGAAAACATTTCATAACATTAACACAACATATTCAAGGTGGTTTTAAATAGCATATCCGTATTTATTTATTTCTCCAAGTTATGTTTTTGTGTGCACTGAGGAGTCTCAAACAGGCGTTTGTTTAATCATTTTAAGATTGGCTTTAATCAATGTTTGAAAATGAATTCTTCATATTTGATAAATGAGAGGTAACATTTTATTTATGGTATTATTTCCACATATTTCTCTCCATTCTTCCTTCTGCCAACGGTGTCGCAGTTTCTCGTCTCTCCCGTTTGTGTGCTTAGTGCGTACGCATGGGTTAGAGTTTGCGTGGAGGACAGCACATTTTCCCGTCAAGTTAGTATTTTATAAATCGCAAACATTGCGTAGAAACTGGCGTACGCCATTTTTTGAGCGTATATCCCTTTATAAATGAGGCCCCTGAGCTGTCCAACTATGACAACACTCCTTGAACATGCGCGCGCTACGTGAGAATCTGCCTTGGTACAAAGTAGCAGTGAAAACATGGTACGGAGTTTCATTGATTTGGGCATTCTCTCAATAAGCAAGTGGAATGGATTTCATTTGATAGTGAAGCACTGACACAGCGCTCTACAAAGTGCGGCGAGTGGATAGACCGATTCACGGACTTTCCGCATAGTAAAAGTGGGGGGGTCTAAACTAATCATTTGAAAAAGTGGGGGGGACTTGTCCCACCCTCATATAATGGCTGCGACGCCCATGCCCTTGACCAATAAATACAATAATAAATTAAACTGACATTAGAAAAAAGGCAATTCAGACTTGATGCTATTTGTTGTATTGGATTATACAGTATATCTATCTATATAGCAGGGTTCAAAACATTTCTTATTGACAAACCATAAATGCAAAACAATGGATTAATACATCTCAGAACAAACAACTCTAAAAGATGCATTAAAGATTCAGCAAACATTTAAAACAAATACTACTCACGACTTGTAGTTAAGGTTGTAGCTAAAACTTGCAAACACATGTGCATGTTATTTGCATGGTGTGGCATATTTGGAGAAAGACTGAGGTTAAGGTACTGTAACAAACTACACTTTACACCGTAAATCTATTATCCACCATGGAAACGCATGTTTTAAACCTGCAACACATCACGGTACGTTCCGTGTGATGCTAATTTATGTAGCTATAGTCAAACTATGGATAGTATACGTGTTAGTGTAGTGATCACTAATTAACGGGGTTACATAATTCAATCCAGGAACTACAGGTTGGGGGTATTGTTTCCGCCCGGACATATATGTTGACGGTACCTCCGGGGTACCTACAGTCATAGGTTGCATTCGAATAGTCCATTTAGCTTAGGAACCTTCCTAACGGAGTGAAATGACCCGGAAGTCCCTCAGTGGCAGCCATGATAAGTGCCGTTCGAATTCTCTAAATTAAAAGGAAAGGAGGTTTCAAACTTCCTTTATAACCTCCTTTAGCTTAGGAACCACTGGACCTCCCTAACCGAAAGGAGAGGAGAAAATGCTGCCCCACAATGCCTTGCGGCCGCAGCATTTGCCGTCACACAACAGTCGGCCGTTCACGGAAACAACCGATTATGAACGAGAAATGATATCATGAAAGTTACGGTGCTTATTAAGCATTTTAAAACGTATGTGGTAAGTTGCCAAAGTGCTTTGTTTTGAACGTTCATCAGTATTATAATCAAAAAGAGAAATATGAACGTTAGTTTTGACTGAAATGATCAAATAAAGTCAACATTTCACAGTCTTTACTGAGCTGTGTGGGGTTTGTTCAACTTTTAAAAGATGTTTGAATGGTGATATACACAGTGATAGATGTTAAGGACTAACCGTTATAATAAATACATTTGTATTGATTTTAAGATCTTTTCATACAATCATACGTATTGGGATCATTTGTATTAATGTGGACCGGAGGGAGAGGGTGACGAGCATAAGTTTCACTTTCCTTTTTTATTTCAATTCCAACTTTGGTCATGAAGAATATGTTTCTCTGTTGTCCCCGTTCATAAAGCATAAAACAACAGCATCAGAGCACGGTGCAGAGTCTCTAGATGAGTTTACAGTAGTCCCTCGTTCTTATTAAACATCCATGTTGTAGTCCGCTGTATAGAAAACTGTAGTTTCCATAGTTTCCCCACAGCAGCAGACGCACATTTATGACGTCCGCTGGCGCATCATAAACACGTCGGATAGTGAAAGTGCAGTCGGATTCTCTAAGTACCGCAGTCTCTTCTCCTAAATCCTTTTGAATTCTCCTATCCACTATCCCTTAACCCCATGACGTTTCACTCCGAGGTCAAGGAATAGACGATAGGGATAGAACTTAGGAGCTGTTTTTTTGGAGTATTCGAACGCAACCATAGATATATATAAACACTAGATGGCTCATGGGAGATTTTCCAGCGTAGCTCACTGGCCGCCATCTTGCTACAGTCAACAGCTACTCTGGTACGCGCTATGGTAGCTGTTGTAAGGTGAGTGATCTGCACAAAAATACTCTTAACTCGCTGAAATCTTGACTGATTTACAAACGGTTTGGTTTATTATAAACATTATTAGCAAGGCTATGATACAAGATGCTTGGACATGTTGAAATAGCAGCTTTTCTTTGTGTATGTGTGGTTGTATTTATTAGCTGGCTAATAACAAGAGGCTGTGAGTGAGACCTAAGCCTCATCCCAATACCCCTCCTCGACTCCTCTCTTCCCCTCCTCCGGGACTTGACCCGGAAATCGATCAAGACACGCCATTTTGAAGGACGTCCCAATAGCTGAAATGCACACGGAGGAGTCGAGGAGGGGTGAGGGAGGAGGGGTGCGGGAGGAGACGAAAGGGAGGATACACGAGAGCAGACTACGCGGAAGTGTTTTCACTACTCACGTATAAAAGCCCCGTCCCCACCTTCACAGCTGGTCGATTTCAACACAGGAAAACGGAGAACTGGAAGAATGAGTGGAAAAGCGTCACATAAATGTATAAGTGCTCACAGCTCCGTGGGAATTATTATGTGCAATTCATTTCTTAAGGTTATACTAACAATTTAAGTCATGTTTAATGATCTTGAACGTCACTAAAACATAGCTATTAAGAAAGCTATTTCATAAATGGCTAGATCTTGATAAATACAAATTATTTGTTTTGTTTTGTGTTAAGATATTCAGGAGTTAAATTATTTAAAATTCACAGTCCTGAATGTGGGTTTGTGGTGAATGTGGGTTTGTGGTGAATGTGGGTTTGTGGTAAATGTGGGGATCTACAGGACACACATTTTCAGAGTAAAGGCTTTCACATTATTATAATTATAATTTTATTGAAATGTACATTTTACACCAAAACGGAACACAAAAGCAGGACCAACCATCATTCATTGAATTCCTTGACTAAAAAGAGACAGATTCATAATTTAAATACATATTTAACAATAAATGGGCCGGTTCTAAGGGGTTATTCAGTTAAGCCCAATGAGAGGGGATACAGCTGTGCACATGTCATCATTAACAGACGTCGTTTAAGAGTGACGTTTGAGTGAACGAGGACATCCCAATTAATACCTGAGGACTCCTCTGTCCTCGCGTCACCTCCTCGTGTCTCTCGCTCGCATCTTACGGAGGCGGAGCTAAGACGCAAGGAAGGGACGCGAGTGAGGGAAAGGAGGAGTCGAGGAGGGGTATTGAGACGAGGCTCTAGCAGTGGCGTCGCCTGGCCTGGGCATCCGGGGCTTTAGCCCCGAATGTTTTTTCTGTAGCCCCGGACAATTCTCCCTCAATAATATAATACATTAACCGTGCTTTACGTGAACCTCATCATGACACAAGAGAGGACGGCAGCACTGTAATTTCCCGTGTTCATTGAATGCAACAGAGGCATGACACCAGACCAATCAGAGAGTTGCATGGAAATAAACGTGTGCTTGTGTCATTCAAGCTCGGCTCTGTGTGTGTGGCAATAGCGCATGTGAGAGAGAGAGAGAGAGAGAGAGAGAGAGAGAGAGAGAGAGGGGGAGGGAGGGAGGGACCGTGCCAGCATGGACCGTGTTGTTAGCATCTGGTTAGCAAGCTGCACTAACGGACATATGGAGCTGTTTGTTCCACAAGAAGCTGGAGGAGAGTCCTCTCCTCTCAGACTGAGAGACTCAGGTGAGCTAAAGGACTCTCTGAGTGTTTAGATACATAACTTTAGTCTAAGTTATCTCAGTGGGTCTCAAACGGTTTGGTCACAAATTATTCAAAAGATTATTTCCGCGGCACACCTTCATATGATCATTATAGTTATAAAAAAAATAAGAGAATAAAGGAAAAACAGTTATGAAATACTATATGGCAGTAAAACAAGAATAGAGTTTAAAAGGTGATTTGTAAAATATCCATAAAGAAAAAGTACATCTGTTTACAGTTCTGCTTCATATGGGTGTTGAGAGAGGTATCCATAGATCTCTTCATTTTGCTCTCAAAGTGCACCAGATTGATGCATCTAACTTCAATATTTAAAAAAAAATCTTCCCGGGGGAGCATCCCCCTGGACCCCCCTCGAGGAGGTGAGCCCCCCACTCATAAAAAATACCACTTTACCCCTGCCTATATGCCGTGAGCTGATTATCGAGCCTTCATTGTAACAGTCGCGGGTGTACTGTGTGTGTGCGTGTGGGGAGTGTTGCAGTAAAAAATGCCACTGTAGTGCCGCCGCCACTGTGGGCTAAGCCCCGAATGTTTTCAGGTCCAGGCGACGCCCCTGGGCTCTAGTATTACAAAGTTGACCAAGAACCCGTGGAATCACCTTTCACGTGTAAGATATGACAATATTATGACTATAATTAGGATAATCGTTAATTACGTAGTGGATGTATGTACATTACAAGTTCTGCTACACAGGATCAGTGGGGCTATGTGAGATAATAGTATTGCAAGATTGTTGTTGACCCAGCCTCTTTAGAATATGTTGCTACCATTTCTTTACACAATTATTTTATGTTTCTTTTGGACACCTTTTTTATAACTCTTAGTGTAGTTGTCTTATTCTTAAAGTATACATACATACATACATACAATTACCCCAAAAATATGATAATTTCGGTGTGTATTTTAGTCCTTACCCTTAATGTTAAAGGAAAGAAGGGAGGAAAATGTTGACAATAATTGATATATCTGGCTACCTTTCTCATGTTTTTAAGGTTTCCCAAAACCGGAGAGAGGAGGAGGCAGTGGGAAGCTGCCCTAAGAAGGCAGGACACTGCTCTGCAGTGAGCACTTCAGTTGTGAGGACTTTGACAGGACGGGGCAGACTGTCCGGCTTAAAGATGGTGTTGTGCCAACAGTATTCAACTTCCCAGCTCATCTTCAAAGGGTATGTGTATCATTGGCCAACAAGAATTCAAGGTGTATAAGATTGATATATATAAATATGTGATTAAATGTCACACTTTAGTTTTTCTTTCTGCAAGTTTAGGAATAAATAATGTGTTGTGTATTACAGCACATTTTAAACACTCAAAATTTCTTTAATTATGTTTATTTTAGCCGGAAGCAACAAGAAGCACAACCACTTCAAGAAGAGCGGAAGATGAACCTCAGCCTAATGTTGTGAGTATTCTGAATGTGGCCAAGACCAGAGAGATGGTCATTGATTTCAGGAGGGTGAGGACGTCTCCTCCTCTACCCCTGTGCATTCTGGGAGAGGATGTGGCTGTTGTGGAGGACTACAAATACCTGGGAGTGCACTTAGACAATGGGCTGAACTGGAGGATCAACACTGACGCTGTGCACAAGAAGGGGATGAGCAGACTCTATTTTCTGAGGAAGCTGAGATCCTTCCACGTGTGCAGCAAGATGCTGGAGATCTTCTATCAGTCTGTGGTGGCTAGTGCACTCTTCTTTGCTGCGGTCTGCTGGGGGGGCAGCATCAGAGCCCGTGACACCAGCAGGATCAATAAACTGATCAGGAAAGCTGGGTCAGTCATCGGCATCAAGCTGGACCCCTTTGAAGCTGTGGTGGAGAGGAGGACACTGAACAGGCTGTTGTCCATCATGGATAACCCCACCCATCCTCTCCACCTGCAGCTGGACAGTCAGCGGAGCTCCTTCTCCAACAGACTGCTGCAGCTCCACTGCCATAACTCTGTACAACAAATCACCTCTGGCTGGAAGAGAACTCTCTGCTCCATAGTTTATCTTGAATATTACCACGTTGTACATTTTACACATATATAATCTGTTCAATATTTAAAGGTGGGGTAGGTAAGTTTGAGAAACCGGCTCGAGATACACTTTTTGTTATATTCCATGGAATGCTCTTAACATCCCGATAGCAATGAATATCTGAAGTGCTTTGACAACAAATCCATAACAAAATGTCATCTGTGGAAGCCGTAGTACTGTAAAAAGCACGACCAATCATTTTAGCCGGCCCGGCTAAAATAACTGGATGGCCTACCTGCCTGTCAGCCTTCCATCTGTGCACACACTTATCTCGTGCCCTCATTGGTCATGTGCGCGTTCGTGTGTGTTGGAGGAGGGGCTCTGTAAGGAAGTGGCAGATTTTTTCCGGCTGTGTATTTTCAAATTCTAGCGATCTCAAGCTGGTTTCTACAAAATTACCTACCCCACCTTTAACATTAATATTCCATATGCCTTATATTTATGTATATGTATATTAGATATATATAATATCCTGCCAAACTCAACATGTATATTATTTTCCTCTTTCTTTATTTTCTTTATTTTTCTTGCTTATTTCTAATTTATTGTAAAATGCCTTGTCCCTTATGCTGCTGTAACTAAAAATGTTTTCCCAAATTGGGATCAATAAAGTACCATCTTATCTTATCTTATCTTATCTTATTTGCATGTGGAATGTCACTAACAAATGAGAGCATCATATGGCTTGTCATATTAAATCCTTTATCTCGGTGGTACCCAGGAAGGTCTATGATGGTGTTACTAGGAGAGCCCAATATCATTTGAGGTGGTACTCTGTGTAAAAAGTTTGAGAACCACTGGCCATCTCACTTGCTCTATGTCACTCATACACTTGAATAAACATGTGCAAACATTGAAACTACACCCAGGGGTTGGCAACCTTTACAATCAAAATAGCCATTTTTGTCCAGAGCCTCAAAACATATTTCTGCCTTTTATAAGGGGACAAGCCTATTAAGATCAATTTCTTAAAAGTACGCCGAGTTGTGTTTTCTGTTGGAGAACGTAACATTTTTTTAGGAGAATAGAAATCACACCAAGTTGTTCTTAATAATACATTTATTTTGGGGGGCCACCTTTCATAACACCCAAGGACACCTTACAGGGCATAGGGGCAATATAGGGAACAATTAAAACTGGATTTAGTGAGATATCAGCCGGGGTAAGACAAACAACAGTAAATGGACTACAGAAGGACACAAAATGACTACAAGAACTCAGCGCACCGTGCTGTGAAGTGGTAACGTATTTCAAAGGTTCTGGATTTGTTTACAAATCTAGAAACTAAATACAAAACTAGGACGATATGAAGATCTCATGTCAAAAATAATTGTGATAAATGAGACAGAACTGGCCTGTCTGTGGGCTCATTTTATGTTGGTTTGGTTCTTCTGATAAAGGTGTGAATATCTAAATAATATACCACCATATGCTATTGTCATTAGTTGTGTCCCTGTTCTTCAAGCTAAGGCATTGCTAAATTAACAACTCTTGGCTTACAGAGTGGTAACATGAGACCGATTTTTATATATAAAATATAAATATATTTTAATTTTATAATTTATTTTAAATATTAACAATATAATAAAATAAATGGAAATATATACACTGGCAAATATTTAATATAAATACCTTGTGTGTGTGTATAGCTATTGCTTTATCTGCTTAATGTTATTTTCATATGAAAGTCCATGATTATAAGTATGCAGTATCATAACTACATCTTTGATGTTTATAAAAAACCAAATTGGTTGAAAATTGAGCAAGCTATGGTTATTTAAATAGTAAACCATAATGTTATGAATGAGAGCACTGCCTGTACCAAGATGGCGGCCATGTGGCAACGTCGGTCTCCATTGGCCAGCAGCGCGGGTGAGTCATCTAGTGTTTATATATATCTATGCCTACAGTGGCTGCGTTTCACTTCTCTTATTTTTCATTTCCTCGCTCCTCGGTCTCGGTCTCACCGGAAGTTGATTTGTCTGCGCCATTTTGAGTAACGTCCCAATGGCCTTATTTTTGCCGGAGGACCGAGGATCGAGGAGCGAGGAGCGACAATGGAGGAGCTATAATCGAGGAACCACCAGACCATCCTTCGATGAAATCCTCAGAGACTCGCCCCGCCCCCTTACTGTGTATCGCTCACTGATTGGACGGTGCAGCGCATGCACTGATCTGATGCTTCTTGACAGGAGAGCAGAGTTTCCCAGCGGAGTGAAGAAAACACATGAAACTCACGGGACTCACTCCTCAGTTTATACTGTGTTTTGTTTCAATTAATGCATCATTTAGTTACAAATATGTGATATATCTGAACAACAAAGTGGACAAAAATCTTTTCATTCATTTATTGGAAACATTTTCGTGATCGCTTTTTTCGTTTTACATTTTCATTTATTGTCATTTCCATTCAGTCAGTCATTAAGTGCTATTCAACATGTTAATTTGCTACATATCCACACAGTGTGCAATCCAGTTAATGTTAATCTAACTGGGTTTTGATAGATAACATATCTCTTTTTCTTCTCACAATTATTTTATTTATATTGTGCACTGTAATCAATATTAACCAAACTAATAGTTCGTTTATACATTTTAAGAATGGCGTTTATGTTTTTTGTGAATTAGTTCTTATTTTATTTTATTTATTTGGGTCTACAACAGATGATACACATGTTTGTGTCAGTAAATGTGTACTAACAGAGGCGGGGGTGTGTGTGAAAATAACGGGGACAGAGCTGGCTGCTGTCAGACGATCAGCTGTGCAGCGTCATCACAAACGGACGTCGCTTCACGTGACGCTCCGGAGGAAAGGACGTCCCATTGCAATATGGGTTGCGTTCGAATACTCCAAAAAAACAGCTCCTAAGTTCTAACCCTATCGTCTATTCCTTGACCTCGGAGTGAAACGTCATGGGGTTAAGGGATAGTGGATAGGAGAATTCAAAAGGATTTAGGAGAAGAGACTGCGGCACTTTAGAGAATCCGACTGCACTTTCACTATCCGACGTGTTTATGATGCGCCAGCAGAGGTCATAAATGTGCGCCTGCTGCTGTGGGGAAACTATGGAAACTACAGTTTTCTATACAGCGGACTACAACATGGATGTTTAATAAGAACGAGGGACTACTGTAAACTCATCTAGAGACTCTGCACCGTGCTCTGATGCTGTTGTTTTATGCTTTATGAACGGGGACAACAGAGAAACATATTCTTCATGACCAAAGTTGGAATTGAAATAAAAAAGGAAAGTGAAACTGTCACCCTCTCCCTCCGGTCCACATTAATACAAATGATCCCAATACGTATGATTGTATGAAAAGATCTTAAAATCAATACAAATGTATTTATTATAACGGTTAGTCCTTAACATCTATCACTGTGTATATCACCATTCAAACATCTTTTAAAAGTTGAACAAACCCCACACAGCTCAGTAAAGACTGTGAAATGTTGACTTTATTTGATCATTTCAGTAAAAACTAACGTTCATATTTCTCTTTTTGATTATAATACTGATGAACGTTCAAAACAAAGCACTTTGGCAACTTACCACATACGTTTTAAAATGCTTAATAAGCACCGTAACTTTCATGATATCATTTCTCGTTCATAATCGGTTGTTTCCGTGAACGGCCGACTGTTGTGTGACGGCAAATGCTGCGGCCGCAAGGCATTGTGGGGCAGCATTTTCTCCTCTCCTTTCGGTTAGGGAGGTCCAGTGGTTCCTAAGCTAAAGGAGGTTATAAAGGAAGTTTGAAACCTCCTTTCCTTTTAATTTAGAGAATTCGAACGGCACTTATCATGGCTGCCACTGAGGGACTTCCGGGTCATTTCACTCCGTTAGGAAGGTTCCTAAGCTAAATGGACTATTCGAATGCAACCATGGTCTAGCTGCGGCCGCGGCAAGTACACGACACTACACGACACGCCCCCTACACGACACGCCCACCTGACACGACACTACGGTGGCTGAGAGACATTAGTGATCTCCAGTGTGCTGGGCAGTGTGGCGGCGGAGGGAGCCGAGGGCACCACCGGAGGAGAGGCGAGCGATGACAGCAGCATCACCGTGGTGCAGCTCCCCGCACAGACTGAGGGGACTTGTTACACGGAGCCCATCACCGGGGAAGCCTGCGGCGGGAGAAGGCGGTCTGCTCGGCCTGCCCTTGGCTCTGGGGTCCCTCCTTAAAAAAAGTCTCATCATACTTAATCCTAGACAGTAGCACATGGTATATATTGTACGACTTTGTCATTTTTGTAATGTTGATATGTATTCGCTCATAGCCTACTGTGCCTTTCACGCAGACAATACAAGTGAATTTTGAAATGACAAATAGGTTTATGTTTCAAGTTTATTTGCATTAAAAACGTGTTTTTAAACCCTTCTGTTCAAATTTGATATTTTGTTTCTTAAAAGATTAAATCTTTAAAAACATGCTGTTTGCCATTTTTAAAGTTTGATGGAAGAAATTAAAATATAGGTCACTGACGTGGAGCTTTAGGCCTGCAATGCTTTCAAAAAAAATGTTGGTGTTGTTTCAGTTTTGAGTGAATATGGATGTTAAATTCACAAATGAGTATGAATAATCTTAAACAAGAACAGGATCTTGAGCCATGATGTTTTTAAAGTACAGAAACATTCAGAATGCATGACGATTCCTTCAAAGGTTTTGTAATAGACCCCTAGTACTTTTAATTTATAAAGTAATAATAACACATGTGAATGATTGAGCTCATTAGTGGCCTGACTGGCCCTCCTAATTTGGTCCTTAATGACCCCATGATGTGATTATGTATATCTTAAAACCTTTAACAACTATATTTAGATGTTCACACATATCTACATTTATGTATAAATACATGTGTAGCAGTTAGACAAACATAATTAATAGATTATCTCATTAATACCTATTTTATATATTAAAAAAAGTTTACTAAAACACCGTTTGTTGACAAAATGATTTGGGTTGAAAGTTATACTGTTGTGTCTCAAACGGATAGACTAGGTTATTAATTTATTTGCCTAATAGTTGCTTAAAATGCTACAATAACATTTGCAATTCATTTTTAATCTGCCATGTACGGTAATGTCTCTCAGCCACCGTAGTGTCGTGTCAGGTGGGCGTGTCGTGTAGGGGGCGTGTCGTGTAGTGCCTTGTACTTGCCGCGGCCGCAGCTGGACCCTTCTCTCCCATTGCCCTTAAAACTCATTTCCCTGCTTCTCGTGGTTTCCTTGCGTCTCTCCATGCTTCCCTGGTGGGAGGGACTAAACGCAGGGAAACGACGCAAGTGAGGGGCGCAAGGATTCCATTTAATCGACCTGAGAAGGACCCAAGGAAACCACGAGAAGCAGGGAAATGAGTTTTAAGAGCAATGGGACGTCCTTTCCTCCGGAGGGTCACGTGAAGCGACGTCCGTTTGTGATGACGCTGCACAGCTGATCGTCTGACAGCTGACAGGTGATGGAGGGAGGGTAATAGAAAGGGTAATAGAAAGAAGTTAGGACTTTAATGAATCCACTACATTACATAAATACATAATACTTCAACCGGCACTAGGCCTATACTAAATATATTTTCGCTTTCACCTGCCATCAATTACATGTGATCATAGAGGATTACCGTACATTGTTTGGTGTAGGCTACTGTTGCCATCTAGTGTTCAAGTTTCATAGTAGAAAAAAAGTTGTTTTATTGATTTATTTCAGCTTAATTTTTACAGCATAATTCAGGAATGGAATGCATCACACAATGTTCACAACATAAATCCAAATATAAAACAGATAACATTACCATTGTTGAGATAAAATAGTAGTATTTATAATGTACATTTGCCATTGTTCATTTAATAGGAACCTATTAAAAAATAAAATTCAACATAAGAACAACAACTTTGAAGGTGGCATGGTAAAGGATGTTTTATACTGCACATGTTCAATTATATATATTAAAAATCAGTATTAAATAATGCTAATTTAATTTGTGATTTAAAAAAAAGAAGAAGAAGAAAAAGAAGAAGTTCTAGTTCTAGTTTCTAATGTCATGGTTTGAAAAATTAGACGCACCAAATAGGGAGGACATTTAACAGGCTCAGTATACTATACAAGTATTGACAGTGTCTAACTGAAATAAACACATCATTCAATGAAGTGTGAGAAAAATTGAAGTCTTTTGTGTGGAGGTAGGTTCCAAAAAAAAGAAAAGAAAAACCACCACCAGTTACACCCAACAGCAGAAACCACACATAAGCAGACACATAACAAGGCCTTGCTTGTTATGGTGTTGAGTTTAAAGATAAAATACCAGCTAATTTCTTCATTAGAAAAACTTTTTTTAAAATACAGATCATGCCCTAGGCTGACCCCGCCCCATTTAAAATGGATCAGATAGGCTTTGTGGCCGCCATTTTGCTTCCTGCTCTTCTTCAAATGATCCTCCCAAAAACAACTTTACCCTAAAAAGGACAGATTATGCTTCCACTAAATTCTAGTATAGTTGTGGCGTTTTAGACGGTCGTTATAATCGCTGCGCCCATCCTCATTATCCTTGCGGCGATCGTAGTCGCGCTCACTCCGTTCCTCATTGCGGTCGTTGCGCTCAACAGGGCTCCTCCTCACGCTGGAGTCATCATAACCTTGGGGGTCCTCGTGCCCATCAGGACGGCGACCATCACCATTCCTAGCTGGCTCTTTGTCACTGTACTCTTCCTCAAGAACTCTGGAAAGGGAACACATAACAGTCAGCTATTGTTATTTTTTCTTTGGCAATGTTCTCCTGGAAAATAGCTTTCACCAATGACTAGCTTAGCTGAATCGGGTTGGTTCATGAAATATTTAATGTAGTCTTGCCAAAACAAAAACTTAATATTAAAAAAAGCTTGAACCTTTCACATAAGCACCATTGTCAACTGCCTAGGCCAACAGCACCTGTTATCTGATCCAAATTATATATTAGCCAAATTTGGCAAGACTAGAGATAGAGATACAGAAATAAACATGACATAAAAAGACTTGAACATTTTTCCAAATGGAGCAAATATGGCTGTGTATATCAGAACAAGTTTTTGAAGCTTATGTATGTGAAACATTGACTTGCAGCTTCCTTTTTCATAAAGGTATGTTGGTAATAAGCAGTTTTGGAAGTGTACAGGTACAAACATGTAGTCTGCTGTTATAATATTCTTTTTTAAGTATGTTTCTCGGTTGACAGAAGGCTATTTTTTCGGTTATCATATAACAGCATTTTGTTCAGTCAGTGTAAGGGAGAACATCTTTACCCCATTGCGTATTCCTCATCCTTCTTCTTCCTGCAGCAGCAGCAATAGATGACGATGATGAGTACTATCAACAGGGCAACCACTCCACCAATGATTCCTGCAGTGGACCCAATGTTCATGGAAGCTGTAGGAGTGGAAGAACAAGAATGTTTTTATTGGGAATACTCAGTTCTCTTCTCACAACAATTGTCGTATAAAAAGCTGCTATTAGAACATTTTTCTCACGTGGCATGACTGTGAGGGTGATGTTGCAGGTAGCAGAGCGGATTTTGTTTCTTGAGGTGCAGACGAAGTATCCAGATGTATCTTTGGAGATATTATACAGAGACAGTATGCCTCCCTCTGAAAGACAAAGAGACGGTCACATATGCACATCACTGCCATAATGATTTTATGTTTTAATTGACTACATATTCTTCACAATACTTTTATTTATTTTTAAAGAAGAAAGAAAAAGAAGCTCAATCATTTTTTTTCAAAACTAAGAAATTGAAATATTTATCTGTTTATTTATTTTTTATGAATGCATGTATTGGATTATTTAAAATGTTTAAATATCTAAACTTGCATTATTATTGGGCTACAAGTGATGCTGTAGATAACTCTCTGGTCACCACAGACCCAACACAGTCTCACTCCCTGAACGTCCAGGAGCGACGCTTGGTCAGGGTCCATGGCGTCCAGTTGGGACGCGCCGAGTCTCCTTCAGCTTCATAAACGGACGCAAAGAGCTTTTAACTGATTGCAATGTATTCCCATCGGCGGCGGTATTTGACGCTCAGGGAAGCACGGCATCGGTCCATGTCGGCGGCATTTAAAGGCAATGTGAGCGTCCATTCCCATTGGATAACGGAAGATTTTACACCCGGAAGTAAGTATTCTCTTTACTGTCGATTGATTTTACAGTGATATCTGCACTACTCATCAACTCAAAAACACCAGATTATCCTTGTTAATTACACAACATTGATTGGTTTAAAGTGTACAATGCTTTTGTATTTTTCCCCTTCGATTCGGTTTAGGATGGCAGAAGACACTACACTACCCAGAATCCTCAGCTATCGTTTGGGACTACACCATGTGCTTCGCTCGACAAACCCCGTGATTATATATATATATATATATATATATATATATATATATATATATATAGATACTATACATTTGCAGAAGTATACATAAACCCTGTATGAGATGACAGTTGACTTTAGCTTTGACTGTTTTACTCTTTCCTTTGCATTGTTTCCATGCATTGTATGTGCTTTGACAAGGTAAACTACTAGTGCTGTCATTTTGACCAGGACTCCTTCGAAGAAGAGATCTCGTATATAGGGCCAGGAAGGCCCTGTTGTTTAACAAGAGGATTAAATAAATATTAATAGTAAAGATAAAGTGTTGACAGACAATGATACTTACTGTCTGTGGTTCTGGGGTCACGAGCACGAGGCATGTTCCTGACATCTTGACTTTGCCATGTATAGGTGGGTGTAGGGGAACCTTCCTCAGACAGGCAGGTCAGGTTGACGTTCTTGCCGTACTCTGCTTTACCCTGCATCTTGCAGACGGGAGTAGATGGAGCCACTAGAAGAAAAAGTGTAATTTGTCCTTGAAAATATGTCTTCAGATGATATATAGAGTGCAGAATCTATTACATCATGAGAAGAATATATTATTAGAGAATACAACATTATACACTTTTTTTTTCTATTTAGGCCGTTAATGTGCAGAATGATTGTTGAAACATATCGCTTCCTGCAGCAAAGTAGCTTTTAGTAACACAGGTGGCAAAATGGTTAAAACAGGAAGAGACCTTTTGAGTATCCATTTTGCAATGGATTAGAGAACATTTAAATGCAAAGAACAATACTGACTGAACTTAAACATCTTTCAAAGTTATAGTATGACACCTGATATTATACTGAATGGTATGCCAAATCCAACATGCAAGATGCTAGTCCTTGCACACACTTTGAAACACTTAAATGCAGAATAATTATTTTTAAACAAATAAAATGTTACCTAGAACCACCAAACGTGTAGTGGCGGCTTGGGTGCCCTCATTATCTAAGGGGATCTGAAGACGACACTGAAACAACTTGTTGTCTTCTAGTTTGATGTTGGAGAGTTTCAGGATGGCCTTCCCCGCGGGAACATCGACATCCAGGGACAACCGACCCTCATACAGTGCTTTTATGTCAGTGATTTTCCCATCAGAATAATAGGTGACGATGTTGATCTTCAAGAAAACAAGAGCATCAGAGGAACAGTAAAATAGGGGGGAAAACACTTCTTATCAGATAATAAAGAAACATACTCATGCACACAGATAAACACATTGTAGTATCTTACCTCTTTAGCACCAACAGCACCAACAGCTTCAACAGACCATGAAATGATAACATATGTAGGGGGGGGGCCTTTTGGTTTAAAGGTGCAGGGTATTGTGATGTTGTCCCCCCTGGCAAACTCATATACTCTCTTGGGGATGCTCACTTCAACGGCACCGACACCTGACAACACTGTCACATTGAAAAAATGAGAATACTGGTTATCACAATAAGGCTTGAAGTGCTTGTCATTTATTTTAAAAAGTAAACCGCAGTGAATTTATAATGTTTATCACACATTACGGCATCTGTGTAAAGTGTGTCTTCACTGGGGATGATTCAGCAGCAAACCAGAACTGCACAAATAATTACCACACCCACCCTGCCTCCCACATACACAAACAAAACAAGTCCGTTGTAAACATAAATAAATCCGTTAATTCGCAAACATTCACAGGTTCGTTAATATTTTCTCGTTTTCTGATCCTTCAAAGAAAGTAAACTGAATTGATTTCGATATCGTTTGATTGTGTAGGCTACCATCTATCAAACAAATCAAAACGCCAATCGGGAACAGTTTTTGTACATAGAAAAGATACTTCGGTATTTTACCCTGAAAGTAATCAATATTTAGTTTTTTTTAATGATGACATGCACCCTTCATCTTGAAACAATTCTCGTATGTATTTTTAGAAACCATGCCTTGACAAAAGGCAACTCCAAACCTGGGGTGTGACTATTGATAATGTTAAATTCAAGATCTTCCCAAGATTTATAAATTCTACTAAGCTTATTTTTTTATCATTCATTTGAACTGGTTACTTTTCCACAGCCCAATCACCCATGTCGCCCGCATAAACAGGTAGCTCTGCTCGGTCTCCGAATACCTGAAGGAGCGTAAACAGGTGTGGCAGCTCGGTAAGGCGCAAAGGAAAGGAAGCAAACATTTTTTTCTTGCAGAAGGAATACTCACCCATAGATAGCAGAGTCAATGTATACATCCTCCTCTCCATTGCCAAGGCTTTAATTTTCTCAAACTAACTCACTGGTTATTCTTTGAGTGGTTGTTTGCTCTTAAATAAAATGGGGAACCGCAGCTGAGCAGGGGCCTACTTGCATCGAAACCCCACAGAGGCTGCGTTTCACTTCGGTTAAATGGATTCCTTGCGTCCCTCACTTGCGTCGTTTCCCTGCGACTAGTCCCTCCCACCAGGGAAGCATGGAGAGACGCAAGGAAACCACGAGAAGCAGGGAAATGAGTTTTAAGAGCAATGGGACGTCCTTTCCTCCGGAGCGTCACGTGAAGCGACGTCCGTTTGTGATGACGCCGCACAGCTGATCGTCTGACAGCAGCTCTGTCCCCGTTATTTTCACAAACACCCCCGCCTCTGTTAGTACACATTTACTGACACAAACATTTGTATCATCTGTTGTAGACCCAAATACATTAAATAAGAACTCATTCTCAAAAAAGATAAACGCCATTCTTAAAATGTATAAACGAACAATAGTTAGATTAATATTGATTAGAGTGCACAATAGAAATAAAATAATTGAGAGAAGAAAGAGAGATATGTTATCTATCAAAACCCAGTTAGATTAACATTCATTGGATTGCACACTTTGTCTGTTTGTGTGGATATGTAGCACATTAACATGTTAAATAGCACTTAATGACTGACTGAATGGAAATGACAATAAATGAAAATGTAAAACGAAAAAAGCGATCATGAAAATGTTTCCAATAAATGAATAAAATGATTTTTGAGCACTTTGTTGTTCAGATATATCACATATTTGTAACTGAATGATGCATTCATTGAAACAAAACACGGTATGAACTGAGGAGTGAGTCCCGTGAGTTTCATGTGTTTTCTTCACTCCGCTGGGAAACTGCTCTCATGTCAAGAAGCATCAGATCATTGCATGCGCTGCATCGTCCAATCAGTGAGCGATACACAGTAAGGGGGCGGGGCGAGTCTCTGAGGATTTCATCGAAGGATGGTCTGGTGGTTCCTCGATTATAGCTCCTCCATTATCGCTCCTCGCTCCTCAGTCCTCGGGCAAAAATAAGGCCATTGGGACGCTACTCAAGATGGCGCAGACAAATCAACTTCCGGTGAGACCGAGGAGCGAGGAAATGAAAAATAAGATTAGTGAAACGCAGCCCGTGTGTGTGTCCCTTTCACTTTCACTTTCTCTTCTCCGGCTGCGACCCGACAGCATGTCAATTTCTGCTGCTCAATGAAGTGAGATTTGCACCTTCGATGCACCGCCTCCCTTCTCTTGGCACTACATTGGTGACCCTGACATAAGTCTCGCGAAGGTTCCGAGACTGAACCGAACACGGCAAAAAAACTCTTGTTTTTCTCGAAATGCCGGAGATTTTTGGAGACTTCCGTGGCTGCCACGTGCGCACGGACTGAGGCGCGCTGGAGGGCAGCAGGCCTTCCTGCTACGAGGAGACGATGCACGACCTGCTAGGTATGGAGGGACCCGACTTCTGCCTCGTGGAGCTGGTTCTTCGGGACATGCGGCTGCATGTCCAGGCTGCGCTAGCTAACTCGGCTAGTGTTGAGCCCCGCGCTTTGGCCGAAGATGCTGGCCGGTTCCTCCTGGCCGCCCCGCGGTTTACCCCTGAGGTGCTTGCCACTGCACGCTGCAGCACCTTCCCTGGTGAGGGCACGCCGCCTAGCGGAGGCTCCGGGGCCGACGACGACGACAGCGACTACCGGCCGTCGAGAGCGGCTAGCCACGACTGCTAACAGCTAGCAGCTACCAACGGCTAACGACAGCTGGCGGCTAGCAGCTACCAACGGCTAACGACGACAGCTAGCAACAGCTAACGACTAGCAGCTACCAGCGGCTATCGACATCCGACTGTTTTTTTATTTTTTTTGTTTTTTGTGGTGCCGGAGTGGAGGTTCGATCATGTCTGGTCGGCCTCGCGTGGATCCTCTCGCTATTTCGCCCACCTGTTTTTGAGCGTGGACGGGACGACCCTTTTTGAGCATTTTCTGGTGCCTGAGAGGAGGTTCGACCATGTCTGGTCGGCCTCGTGTGGACCCTCTCGCTTTATCACCACCTCGACGGCGGCTTCGGACGTCACACGCCTTCATCGGCCCGTGGGTGGCAGATCTGGATCAACATTACCTACCTGAGGGCATCTTGCTGGGAGACTTCTCTTTCTTGTTGGTGGACATTGGGTATGATGAAGCTCCCAAGTATGCGGCTTGCCGCTGGAAGTCCTGCAGTTGTTCTGAGCGTTTCAGGCTAGGCGTCGGCTTGGCGATCTGCAGCCTCTTCAGGAGAGCCTGAACCAAAACACAATGTCTCCCTTTTCTCCCGGATCTTCCTCCCTCTCCCCCGGGTCTCTCTCCTCCTCCTCACCGTCACAGGCTCCGGTCCTTTTCAAGCAAATTCTCCCGGTAGAAACGGAGACATTTCACAAACACAGCTGGATCTATAGAGCTGTGGCGGTGGCTGATGGGAAAATGAATTTTTTTATGTTGTTGGGTCAGAGATCGTGTGTTTGGAGAGATGACGCACTCTCCTTAGTATAATAATCACGTTATTACCATATATTATTATGTTATAAGAACATATTTGAATCTCATAACGATATATGTTCATGTTATAACAACATCCTTCAACGTTATAACGTGATATCTTAGTGTTATAACGAGATATTGTCACAATATAAAAATATATGACTTTATACCATATACTGCATGTATGAATCACCACCTGGAAGGTGGTGATTCATACATGCAGTACATTGTCATCATCTTGGCAAACTGGTAAAACAATTAGGTTTAACGTGGGTACTTCAGGATATCAGACAGGTTCACTTTGGAAAGATTTCAGCATATGTAAATGTGGTTTCGTTTTTGTAAGGAATCAGAAACGGGTTTATTACCAGGTAGGTTCACACGTACGAGGAATTTGACTAGGTGTCGTGGTGCATACATACAAATTAAAAAACAAAAATTTAAAAAAGAACACAGATAGTGAACTATATTAAGAACACTGTAATACAAATATAGTAAGATAGCAATAAAATAAAGCAGTAATTTATATTGAAATAGAATGCAATAAGTTATAGAATATAAAATATGTGCAGTAAGCAATATTGTCAACATTGTGTGAATGTATGCATTACTGTGAAGTGTTTTATTATACGTGTTCCAGTTGCATTAACCTCGTTAGAGATTAGGAGACAAACGAATTAAACGCAAAACCGCATTAAAAACATCTTCGTTAGCGTGCTTCAGCTGGCTGCTGTCAGCGGGACATGGTGCCTAGTAACCAGGCAACGTCACTTCCTGGCAACGATAAAAAGGGGTTCGTGTTACAGTTGCATTAACCTCGTTAGAGATTAGGAGACAAACGAATTAACCCTCCTGTTACATTCAGGGTCAAATTGACCCGTTTGAAAGTTTGAAAATCTACGAAAAATACTTTCAAGTATTTTTTTTGTATGAAACTTCTTCTCCTTACCTTAATTAGTGCAATAAACAAGTACAATTAAAATGGTTCATGTCATGCATTTGGAACCCCCCCCTACATGTCTATATCACAGAGATGGTATTTGGGTCAATCTGACCCGGCAGTGCAAGTGGAGGCTAAAAGGACACACACACACACACACACACAAAAATACTTTCAATACAAATCCTTATGACTCATTTGGCTTGATTCTAAGTGAACGGGTCAATTTGACCCTGAACAGAAGAGGTGTCTCGTCTCTATTTATCAACATCAACCAATTGGAAAAAAAGTTGGAACATTTTAAAAGTAATTTAAAAAATGTTATGTTATGCAAAACTAATGTATTTTATATCAAGGTTTTTCCAATGTAAAAAAGAAAATGTGTTTGAATGTATATGTTTTGTGAAAAACGAGTGACTTATTCTAATGGAACCATGATCTGTGAGAGGTGAATAACACAATTGCACTAAATATTGATTTCATTGATAGTAATAAAAGGTACAAACTATGTACAAAAAAAAATCTGGATTTTGGGGCTTCTGACCATTTTTGGATAATTAAACATGCACTGGGTCAAATTGACCCACGAATATTATTGCTGTTACAAAAAACGAATATAACAGGAGGGTTAAGTTGACCTTTAAAACTATTGAGAGTGGGACAATCCCGTATCTCAGTTGGGAGGCTATTCCATAATGAGCTTTAATGGAAAGGACATTTTGTCCAAAAGTGGTCCATCTGCGGTGGACTTCACAGTCTCCTCTGGTTTCTGACCTAGTGCAGCGTCCAGTGTGTTTTTTGTGGATGAATTCCCTTAAGGGAGGGGGGCCAGTCCATGTAAACATTTATAAATAAAGCACATACTTTTAAAATACTTAAAATTGTCAAACTCAAGAAATTGTGTTTTTCAAGGATGGTACAATGGTGATATGAATATGGCTTTCTGTCAAACACCTTGACAGCTCTCTTGTACAGCTGTTCTATTGGTTTAAGGTTTGTGGCACAAGCAAACGACCAGTTTGTAAAACAGTATTCAATATGGGATAGAATCATACAGTGGAGGTATGACTTTGCAGCACTGACAGTTAAGAAAGGTCTAATTTGTTTAACATTTTGCAAGTTGAATTTAATAGTATTGGATACTTTCTTGATATGTTTCTTAAAAGTCAAGTTCGAGTCCAGTATGACTCCAAGATACTTGAAGTGGGAGACTAGTTCTAATTCTGCTCCGTTTAAAAACACGTTGGATCCTTCAATTTTGACTGGTCGTTTACTGAACATCATGCATACTGTTCTTTTTACGTTTAACTGTAAGCAAATGTTGTTCAGCCAGTGTTGAACCTTGTCCAAAGCATTAGAGAGACAAGATGCGATCATTTCAGTGTTTTTCCCGTGTATAAAGATGACCGCATCATCGGCATACATTTTCACATTCAACTCAGGACATACATAAGGCAAGTCATTAATGTACAGTGAAAAAGTAACGTTCCCTTTAGTTAATGTTATTTAAAAGATAATTATATTCCTATTTGATCATGTCCCTGCACAGTAGTAAGTATGTGAGCATTGTACATCCATCCTAAAAAAAAAAATACATTATGTACTTGTTTAAGTGTTTGCCGGCAGGGGGCGCCGTATGACCTAATTGTTTTCCCTTCAAAGGTTTAAGGGCACACCCAAATGTAAACAGGAGAAACTTTCCCATAAAGCTTATTTGCTTGAGAAAACACACACACACACATACACACACACAGCAAGCGACAGAAGATAAACTGTATTGATATTTTACAAATGTATTTCTTAGGGTGGCATTTTTGCAAATATATTTGTACACAATTATGGTTTTTTTCAGTTATCACCTTGTTTTACCTCTTTACAATATATTGATTAACATGTAGAATAAATGCATTGCTCTGTTTAAGTAATTGGTTTATCTTTTACTTTTTGCCTAACTTTAATCGTATCTGTGTTACCTTGTGAAGTGCAGAGCTTCCTATTTGTTTTGAAAAAGTGCTATATTAATTAATGTATTATAATAAGGAGAAGAACCCGAGCGAAGACACAAATGAACACAATTAGAGGTAGAGAAAGAAATGCAGAAGTGTTTTGTGCAAAAATGTCCTTTAATAAAAAAAAAATAGGAGTAGAAAACTAGTAACTAGCATTTTCCTTTTTGGCAAATTTGAGTATACTGTAGCAAGCTGTAACCTGCACAAAAACATGCAAATAAAGCATAAACCACAAAAGGTATGTAACCTATTCCAGTACTTTACTATAAACATATACAGTATATCCTACACTCTTGCAACACTGAGTGTCTCATTTTATAGTAATAGTGTTGACGATGATGATATTGACCTTGTTAAGTAATTTGTATTTATATATGTGTATTACTTGTATACTCCTTGCCTGTCACTGTACCTCGTGACTTTGTTTTGAATTGCTTTTATATAGTTCCTATGTTTACCTTTTTTCTTATAATAGCTGTATATATCTCTTGTTTTATTACTTCTTATTTTATTTATTTATTCTCATTACTCAAAATATATGTACATGTGTGTGTCTTTTTGCTGATGGGGTGAACATATTGTTTATTATATATACTGCAGGTAGCTTGTGAATTTTGCCCCTGGGAAACCCCACTGCAGTCAGCATGTCGTTGTGTCCCTGGGCAAGACACTTCACCCCAAATTGCTCCTGTGGGGATTGCCCACAGTATTGAGTATGTAAGTCGCTTTGGATAAAAGCGTCTAACAAGTAACATGTAATGTAATGTAATGGAAATAATGAAGTTATACCTTATCCTTTGGAGCAGTCAATACACAAAGTAACTAGTAAGTTATTTCTTTGAGACCCCCTTGAAAACACGATGACATCTCAATAAAGAATATCCAATTTATTAAATAAATGTGCCACTCAAGTGCAGTGGGCTAGAAGTAAGGATTTAAGGTAGCAGAAATGGTGAGGTCTCACCTGAAGAAAATAGGCGACAGCCTGAGATTGGTCTGCAGTACTTCAGTTAATGTACTTATCTACTTCACACCTAGTTTTTGCTGAATTCCTATGAGTGTAATGTGTAATTTGCTTGTTGAGGTATCATGTGATGTTTTAGATTCTTTAAAAAAAGAGAAGTGAAAATGACAAGTGGTAATAGCTGCTGTATGCAACCATAGACTGTATATGTATGCAACGTAATGGATAACGGTACTGGAATAACGGAACCTTTAAGCCAATCAAATCCTACAGCTGTGTCTTTTTCGACCAATCAGAGCACCGCTCCCTTCATCGGCGTCTCACCAGCAACCACCATCCGCTAGCTAGTTTAGCATCAGTGTGGAGGAGAAGCTAACCTACAGAGACATATCTGTTCCCTCTTTTTGGTTATGTATTCCGCCTAAATATACTGAAGTTACCAGGCGTCCAAGTGACTAACTCGAAGGTAAGGGTCGTATTTACTTCTCGTGTCTGCTTTTGCTAGCTGGGCGTCGCGGGAGGGGGCGCAAATTACACATAATATACACACCTATCGTGTTGTTGCTGTTAATATGCTGCAATTTAGCAAAGATAGCTAACATAAGCTAATGGAAGTTTGTGCAAACGCCTCCTGGACGTAACACTGAGCAAAGATACATTTGATCAGACGTGTAGGTCGTTTTATCCTCGAATAATACATTAATACATTTTTATTTTTTGTTCCATTACATGTACTGAATCAACTTTCTTAACATGGAAAAATAACATAAATGCTATATGGTTGGTGATTACTTGCCCCTCAGTCCTTCCTGTTATATGTGTATGTACCTTCCTTCTCTCTAAATAGTGTGTATCTTTTCTTTGCCATGGATAAATGTTAAATGAACTTCCTCCATCAGATGCAGTTCATGCTGTTATTCAGCCGGCAGGGAAAGCTGCGGCTACAGAAATGGTATGTGCCTCTGTCTGATAAGGAGAGGAAGAAGATCTCCAGAGACCTGGTCCAGACCATATTGGCCAGGAAGCCCAAGATGTGCAGCTTCTTGGAATGGAGGGACCTCAAAATCGTGTACAAGAGGTAAGTAAGTGAATAAGAGAAGTTTAAATTACAAACTTAAATATCTTTGGTTGTTTTCAGTTTTGTTTTCAGTTTTGTAACTCCTCTCAGCTGTATGAAACAAACTTCTGAGCATCTTCATTTAAATAATTTAAATCAAATAAATAAAAAACGATTAAATGCAAAAAATGCACACAAATTGCTCATCAAAAGATATCGGAGCTACCTTTACCATGTTGAGTCGATGTTAAAGTGCATTCCTTACTAAAACTCCATTGACTTTTGTTTTCCATCACACATTTATAGAAAACATCACAGTCTTCCTCAGTAGTTGTCATGGAGACAGTTTAGTTGTTACAATGTGTTACTCAGTGACAAGATCACAAGTCGTTTTAAATCAGAATCAGAATACTTTTATTAGTCCCACAGAGGGGAAATTTGCATCGTTACAGCAGGAAAGAGCCACAGACAGCTTAATGTTACATATGTTAAAAAAAGTACTAAGTTATGATATAATAAAAAAAAATATATATATATATAGGAGATACTGTTTCATAGCAAGTGATCCTTGAGATTATGTGGTTAAACATTCACACATTTCACAGTGGTCTAAATAAACTCCACTGTCCTATGCCAGGAATTTCAGATTTTTGTGATAGGATGGGTAACTGTTCGGTTTGCCACGTTGCTTTTGTATCTGGAGTGGCTTGCTGGGTGGTTAATAAAAACCGATGATTCAGTTATTATGTTGTCATGCAATGAGATTTCTGGCATTTAGGCGCTGTTTACACGGGAACGAAACGGGTTGTATCTGCTACTTTTCTCTTTCGTATAGCCCGTTCGTTCACACGAGGCCATAACGGAACCACGGAAACTGACCCCTCAAACGATAATGGGTCCCAAGGTGGATAGATCTGCGGACGGAACGCTCTGGAGGGCCAAACGGCTCTGTGTGTACGTCCTATACGATCATTTCCTGATAACGATGAAGCCATAGCCCCGCCTCTCCCCACTTCTGCTGCTCACTGCTGTAGCATGGTCAGTAGCTACTGTCAGTAGCTACTGCTACTGCTACTGCTGCTGACCATGCTACAGATGTTAGTGCAAAATCTACAGCTCCTCTACCACAACCATCAGCAACAAGTGGACATGGAGAACTACATGAACTACATGTTGCTAAATCCACCGCGGAGAATAACCAGAAGGGCAACCAGAGGCCTGTACTACGAATCCAGTTCAACATACCCTGGATATGTTTGAGTTACCCGGCTTACCTAATCCAAAACAAACGCGCTCTCGCTAAGCGGTCCTACGACGCTGGTTATCAACTCGGTAACTCAAGCCAGGGTTTCTCTGTCCGGCTGAGTGCGCGTTCACATGAAAGGGGCGGGGCTAGCAACATTTGACCAATCACAAACATGGAGAAGCGTACTGACAGCGCAGCGTCATACTTCCTGAATGAAAAGTGAACTATAATATTAGACAAATATGAAGAAGTTAAACTTTAAACATCCATGACTTAAACACTTTATCCAGGATAAAAGCCACATAGTTGCACCTGCAAAGTTAATACAGCTGGTCAAAAAAAAAGTGTTTGAATGCGTACATTAACAGGTTTATGATATCACTGCCCCGTCTAAGACACGAGTGGATCTGACTTAATTACATTTGACTCGAGTGTTTCGTCAACTTAATGTGTTGCTTAAAATAATACTTCTGCATACAGTATGTGACACTGTAAGTGTTGCACGGCCAGATACGGCTCAAGAAGCTGACTCAGATAAGGAAATATATGATACATTATGATGTGATATGATATGAATGATAATGGCACACATCGATGTCTGCACTCACAGTGCCGCGGACTGTACGTAATGTTACTTTGATCCGGTTACTTATGTCGTGGCAGATATTTAAGTAAGCTTTCTTAACGCTAATGTTATAATAGTCAGATTGCTCTGAAGATGGGAGGTGATATTCTATTAATTTTCACGTTCACACAGTCAGTTGATTTTTGCCGGCCGTCTTTCCTGCAACGGCAGTTTTTCTGTATTTCCTTTATCCTGTAATTTGACTTGGTAGCTTTAAACTCCGCACACAGAGCTCTGATTGGTCAGCAGGCGGTGCTCTCACCGAGTTGATCTCTTATCCTGGAACCAAACCTGCTCCGGACCAGGCTAGCCGTTCAGCATAAGTTACCATGGAGATCTAGCCCGGTAGTACAGGCCTCAGCCCTCAGGTTTGCCGTTCAGCATAAGTTACCATGGAGATCTAGCCCGGTAAGAAGAGAACCAGTGTCGTAGGACCGGAAACCCAGAGTTTTCCCTGAAGTTAGCTTGCTAAGCGAAAATCCGGCTTCTTAGTACAGGCCTCAGGCAACCATGGCAACCATGCTCGGGTGGGTCTTCTTCGCTGCTTTTGGTGTATTTTGTGGCGGAAGTACAGTGCCACTTACAGGCCCGGCATATGTACTACAGCGTCTCCAGCGGGTCGAGCGGTCTCGTGTGAAGGGACACGTTTATTGAGCCGTATCCGTGTGAACGGAATACTTTTTTGATATCGAATTCGGTTCGTTTGCGTTCCCGTGTAAATGGGGCCTTAGATCTCACCTTCTGTTGTGTGCTGAAAGCCAGAAACACCCCCTCTCTAATAACACCTGCCAAACAGTGAAGGACAATGATTCATTATGTAAGATTGCCTCATTTGTGGCTGGACATATAACTGTTGAGCTTTAGAATACAAAAGTCACTTCCCATGTAAAAAAACAAATAAACAAAGACAAACAACAAAATAGCCGTGACAGTGACACAGTGCTGCAGTACTGAAAAAGGGTGTTTTCTTGCCTCATGATAACAAACATGAAGCTACCTGTTTATTAGGTACATATGTAAACATCTAATGCGGTGCAGTTTTATATAGCTGTAAACAATTCTATCATGTAAAAGCTAAAATGCTCAATTTTTTTTCAGATGTTTGCAAAGTAATCGCAAGTTATCTTTATTATTTTTGATGGGAATTTTGAATTTGTATTTCTTATTGTATGCATATAGGTATGTGTATCCTAGATTGAGTCCTGACACTGATCAAAGCCTACTGTTACCTAAATTGAAAACACTGATATGTTGCATTCCTGCCGGGAGAGCAAATGCACTAACATTGTTATACATCACACACAGTTCACCTTTTATTTGCTTACTTTCGGTTGTAGATATGCAAGCCTGTATTTCTGCTGTGCTGTGGAGGATCAGGACAATGAGCTGATCACCCTGGAGATCATCCATCGATACGTGGAGCTGCTGGACAAATATTTTGGCAGTGTAAGTCTTAAATGTCACACATCTAAAATAAACTGTTAATTGGTAGAATGTGGCAGAAAACAATAGAAAGTGTACTGTACGAATCCTTTCAGTGTGTCACTAACTACAGGATCTCCTCTGATCTGCTACTGTTTGGCCACACAGGTTTGTGAGCTGGATATTATCTTCAACTTTGAGAAGGCCTACTTCATCCTGGATGAGTTCCTGCTGGGGGGAGAGGCTCAGGAGACGTCGAAGAAGAACGTGCTGAAGGCCATCGAGCAGGCTGACCTGCTGCAAGAGGTACGAACAGTTTTGCAAACACACACTATTACACACACTCACTAGTGTCAGGTCAAAAGGTGTTTCGATCCATAATGTCAGACAACTTGGGTACAATGCCCATCACGTTTCCAAACCCCCTAGTAGTATTCAAATAATGAATTAACCAACTTTCCAAACCCCCAATATATATTCACTTTAATGTAATTTCAGTCAGAAAAGCTTCATCTGAGAAGCTGAAACCAGATATAAGGATACATCTTTTTTTCACCCTGCGCCCCTCCACACCTGACGTCACCTGTTTATTCTAAGCCTGCAGCGCTTGATGAATACCGGTTCCTCCCCTGTGCCAGTGCACCAAAGCAAGTCCTGTCCTAGATGTTTGCATTTCTGTCTCACTGTAGTCCTTTGCAGTCAACAGAATTATTTTTAGCAAAGCATGCAGTACTGTTGTTACAAGAACAGCTGACTGTGCAGGCCTAAGAAGGGGTTATCTTACTTGGTAACCTGCAATCATAGAGGGTATTTTTTGTACTACAAAATGTACGTCAGCAACAAACCTTTCTCTCTTGTCTTTGTCTGCAGGAGGCCGAGGCACCACGGAGCGTTTTGGAAGAAATTGGGCTGACATAAATCATCATGCTGCAGTTCCTTCCTCCAGATGCAGATCTGGCAACCTCTATGTCTCTCTTCTGTTGACTGTGTCAGTGTTGTATGTATATAATCACCATCTATGTATTCTGTCATGTACTATCCAGTAGTGTCCTTTAAATGTGGTGCCAACTGTGGTGTTGATGTATCTCCTCTGAACAATCTCCCTCACTGTATTCTGCAGTAGTATTAACATCCTTCACAGAACTAACTTCTTAAAACTCAACTGAGTACAATGTAGCGACGACATGAAACTCCAGCACCATATTAATCATCTATCATCACTGATTGCAGAGTTGTGTGTGCTGTTTGGCTTCAAGTATTTTTAAAGGTGCTGTTGTCGACTCAGTCGGCAATTCTCATGATTTACCTTCACATTCAGGCCACAGAACTCAGCATCCAAATACTAAATAAATAAATATTCTGACATCTGTGAGGTTCATTTGATAAAACTGTTTTTGTTAACAAACTAAATGCATAATTAAAAACGTTTTTCATCTTGTTTCTCAATAGCAAATGGGCATTATGTTGCTTCATATTAAATACTGCAAAAACAATATAACGATGTACAAAATGAGCAAAAAGATGTGTCATTTTGTACTCGCATCTGTCGATTACAAAAGAGGCTCATCTCTGGAAATATAAATTAAATCAATCGAGATGGTTAGATGGGTCTTTGAGGACTCAAGAAATACCTTAAGAACAGCGGTAAGTAATGACCTGGGTTTTATTAAATGAATATTTTTTGATCTGATACTTAGCTCTGTGACTGAGATAAGGATAACACATGAGAATAACCAACGGGGGCTAGTGCTGTTGTGGGAATCGCTGACACTGTTACAATCACACGGGTCATTCAACCCAACAATTAAGTGAAATTAAAAGACTTATCAACATCAGTGTTTATGTTATGTAGGTTTGAACAAGTTTGTGTTTAGTGATTTGTTCTTAGAAATGAACCATGTATATTATTTTCAAGACGTTACCTTTTGGTAAACCTGAGCAGACTTTTCCTGACAAAAGCATTTGTTTAACAATTTCATGGAGTCAAATCTGGGACAGGAAAGCATAGCGACTCAAAAGAAAAATCTATTTTATGTATAGTTTAGTTTGGCTTAAAGACTAACATGACCAAAGAACACTGTGTTTTATCTTCTCGATGTAGTCTACAGAAAGTTAACATGGCAGAAAAGGGATTTAGAGCGGCAGGATGTTTGACAGAACATGTATGTGGGGATTATTGGACACAATATAGCAGTATTATTATCCCAAACAGTTTAAGGGCAGGTCTAGCATGAGTTTCTTTATGAGGTAGAAGCGACAGAAGATGAACTGCACATATCAGGGGACATCATGAATATTCATCAGCGTCAGCTTGTTCACTTGTCAGCAGGAAAACAGGCCAACAAGTAATGAATACATCCAAGAATTGTATCTGCATTCTTAAAACCACAAAGTGTTGTCATCGAACATTCAGAAGTAATTATTCGACATCTTTGATTTGTGCAAAAATAAATCACTTTTTGTATTAAACACTGCCAACTCATTTGCCAACATTTTTTTCTTATATTTGCAAGTTATTAACAATAAATGTATACAAAAAAAGAACCCCTGTTTTTGATGTTTTTTCATATTGTTTTTACTCAGCATTAATAACCATGTTGTTCTGCAGCTCCAGTGCTCGATAATTGAAGCAACGTTAACCACTTTACAAAAGCTACAAATATTCACATATGTACATGTACATTGGTGACAGGTGCTAACTTGCTAAAAACATGTCGAGGAGAAAAGCCAGAACCAATTCATATATTTTGAAAGGTAACTAAGAGTTACTCGTGTCACCTTCTCCAGCGGCCTCATTCAGCATTTCTGTGATAGACTGTTCATTTTTCACCTCAGGACAAAGCTCCCTGTCAACTCCCGGACTTTTATCAAAATCATGGTTTTTCTGACCTGCCTCGGTTTCATTCCCCCCCCCACTAGGACTCGCTGCAGGGAGACCCTCCACTCTCTCGTCCTCTGACTCTTTCTCCTTCTCTGACTCTCCAGATGAAGTCACTCCTTCAAGCAGATGGCTTTTCTTCTTATGCTTCTTTTTGCTCTTTTTCTTGCTCTTTTTGGATTGTTTGTGGCGGCGGCGTGTTTTGGTCTCCTCAATAGTATCTGGTTTCTTGGGGCTCTTTTCTGTACTGTGTTTCTTCCTTTCTCTGCTTGTGCTTCTCGACCTTTTCCTCACCTTTTCATGTGTTTCTGTGTCTCTACTGTCTGTCTCTTCACTTCTATTCTTGTGCTCCCTGTCTTTATCTCTACTCCTGTCTCTTGGCTCTCTGTCTCTACTTCTACTCCTCGACCTATCCTTACTCTTGCTCAGATACCAGGTGTTCTTTCTGTCACTGTGTCTGGATGACCGTCTGTCCTCTCTGTGCTGCTGGGACGCCCTGCTCTCTCTGCTCCTGCTCCTCCGTCTGTCTCCCTCTCGTCTGCTATGGGATCTCTCAGATCTCGGGGGGCTTCTGCTGTTCTGACGTTGCCTCCACGATCTGTCTCCGTATCTTTCTGATTGCCATCCGTCTCTGCGACTCCCCCTGACGCTGCGGTCTGGAGACAGATGCAGGTCTCTGTCCGCCTCCCAAAATTCATTGCCAGGGTTTCGAAATACGTGCAGGAAGTTACAGTGCTTCCCTTTGGGGCACTTCTGTCTGTCGTACAATCCTGAGAGAGGAAATGCATCACAAACAAGATAAATACATTGAACTGAATCTTGTATCTCTGCAGTAATGTCACTAAATGAAAAGAAACTGACAGAACAACTCACCACATATAGCATTCTTCCACCGAGTAACAGGACACATCTCACAGTGAAGCTGCCGGCCTGCGTACCACCTCCCATTGAACCTGATGATGGCCTCCATGCACTGCTCCTCTCTGGACACACAACAGAGAGATGGGAGGACAAAGAATTAAGTGTTTTAATCTGAACTTCAAACAGTGTACAGGTATTATTTTGGGAAAGTTATGGAGCGGTTGTGTGATAACTTACGTGTCAAACTGAATGTAAACATTTCCTCGCAGGTGTGGTTCGTAATTGCAGCTGACCTAAAAAAGAAAAGGTATCAAGGAAACCGAATGTAGGTTTTTAGTCTTTATTATTTGGTCATGTATTCCTGAACAGTGAGGTTTCAGGTTGGTTTTTAAATAGGAATTCTTAGAAAAAGTCAGAGGGATAACTTAAATCTGACTGAATTCGGCAGGAGATAATTAAGACAATTTTATATATTTGTATTCATTTATATTTTGAAATGTTTTAATTGTGTAGCACACTGTAAGGATGATCTTTTTACACTTTCCCAGGCAAAATAAAAACAAATATTTATTTATGTAATCTAAATTGACTAATAAAACATCTTTAAAACTCACAAATAAAGTCACATGCAGAAGTTGAATTTACCAAAAGAATCTGTCAAAGTATTTATATGAGCTGACAAACTGGTGGCTGTGTTCTGTTATTCTAATAATACATGTAACATGTCAGCAATCAGAGCCGCTACCCTGACCTTATATTCTGAAATCATGGTTTACTTATTTAGGGTATATATGGATTGACATTTTTGGTACTTCCTCCTGATCTCATTTTACCTTGAATTGCACCACCTTGCCGACACTCTTCAGCTCCGGCAGGACGTCCTGGTAGAAGTCGAGGAAAGTCTCCTGCAGCTCCTCCTCGCTGTATTCCAATGAAGCATCAATGTCGTAATCATCGCGGCACGACTGCTGCAAGCCGAACGTCGTAAACATTCCCCGGATCATCAGAGTCGGGCTGGCTGTGGGATAAACATGCTTCCGAGAACATCTGGACTCACAAAGAAGGAAGAGGGGAGAGTATACAGACACATTAAAAAAACATTTGTGACTTGTGCAATAATTAGTCAAAAGTCACGTCAAAGGAGAAACCAACAGTACCTGTCTCCAAATCGACACGCCCCGGTCTTCAGGAAGAATGGACAGTTTGCCACGTCCCGCTCCGTCCCAAAGTTCTCCGAGCTCTTTGTCCCAGGAGCCTCTGGATTCATCCACGCTCCTCCATTCTCTAACTGGAACACAAGAACAAAAATGTATATGCTGTATAGTCTGACTTTAAACTGGAATAAGATGTAGCTCCTACTTTAAAAAATAAATAAAAACATAATTTTTTATATATAAATATGTCTTTAAAGGTTGGATGGAAATATTTCGAATTTTGTAATCAAATATGTACTTATCAGGGTTAATGCAGTATAAAGACTAAATAATCACTGATGTCTGGTGGTAGAAATTAAGCAAGAGAGAAATGATTTCTGAAATTAGTGTAAAAATATCTTTGACATGTTCTTTATGTGTGAGGTTTAACTGAACTTCAATATAAAAACACATTAAACTGAGCTGCACATTTATAAATGAAACTGAGCTGCACACCATTAGGATACATATATTCCTAAATTGACAAACAAATCTATACAGACTTTGAAGTACACATGTACTCTCATAAAACACAAATATGATTTTGACACTTGTTTTTACTTGTGACATTAATGTGTGTTCATACCTGATTTTCTGCTTCATCCAACATTTTCTGAACGGCCTCCTACAAATGGTGTAAAGACACGGCGGGTGAAAATGTGTAGAGGTCAACATCTGTTACTGTGTGTTAAGACCACACTCACAAGAACTGGCATTTAAACATTTATGGACCTTTGGAAAGCGATTTCACAGACTGTAGTCACACACAGTAAAAGATACATCCTTGTTGTGAGAGCTGAAGCTGCTGTTAGGGGTTTTCTCTCTGTGTGTATCTTAGTTGAAGAGTTGGAGGGTTGCTTGTGCCACTTGGTCAAGGATTTTTTTTTTTTTTTAAGAACCATGTACAAACAAAAACAAATCTTAAAAAGAAACATGATGACGTTATGATTGTCTGAACCTTCCCTTTTGGATGGATAATATAAACACTTAAGTAGAATAGGATATATTTCTTTTTGTTTATCCTCCTGGGGCCCGTTTCACCTCTCTGTCTCGCTTGTCCTGCTGCTTCTGTTCTTTTTCTTCTTCTTCTTTCTTCTGCTGGGCCTCCCATTCCTGCTTTATCATTCGCTGTAAACACAAGAAGACATAAAGCGTGTGAATATAATCATCTTATTTAGAATAATCAGTGGAACAGGCTCCGGTGCACTCATCTGTTAGCCATTTCTTAACACAGTAACCAGACCCAACTGAGGGCAGTAATCTTCTGTGAAAGGCTCCACATTGGTAAATAACTTCCGAATCAGATCATCCCCACATTTCATCATCAGTGTGAATACAGACACATCGGTAAATCTGCTTTATTCACAAAATGTTAGTGCGTTTTAAAAAATGGTCATGTTTTGGATGCTTCCTATGTTACACACAAACAGCAGATTACCTCTTCCTCCTCTTTTCTTTTCCTTACAGCCTCCTCCCTCTCCGCCCTCAGCCTAAACTCCTCCTGGGCAAGCCTCTC